AATGGTGAATTTATTATTTTTTTCTTGATATTTCAAACTTTTCAGACCTTTTTTTTCCAAAATAATTGAATGGATTCTATCTTTTGAACTTTTGGCATGAAAACAAACTGAGGTATCTACCATTTTTTCATGATTTTTCATGTTTACTGCTATTTTAAAATAAAGGTCTGAACACACCTTATGAGTATGAAAATATTCTTGTTTTATATTGATAAATTATGGCTCCTCTGTAATATATTTTGAAAATCAGTCACCAAATATGGAAACTAGAGATTGTAAGCTTTCAAATGATATATAGTTTGTCAATATTATTTAAGGTATTTACTAAGATATTATTGTTTTAAAAATATAGTGGCAAACGTCCCACCTGTGGGACGGTGACAGTTAACAGAAGTGACCTGGCCAAGATGAGCAGCACAACATTATCAAAAAAAAATAAAAAATAAATAAAAAATAAATAAAAGAAAAAAAAAATCACCATGACATTAATTTAAACATTAGATTTCAAAATAAAAAAAATGAATACAGTTCAGTTTAAAATAAATAAAAGTAAGTATATATATATTTTGAATGCAAAAAGAATTGAAATATATGGCCAATGATGCTTAGTGTTTCCCAAATCCCTGTGATTCGGGGTTGCAGGCTGGCTCCGCTCTGCCCGGCACCGTGGCCTTCTCCAGCCCCTTCAGCTCTCTCTGGCGCCGGCTTCTCCATCACACCTCCACCTGTCAACAGCTCCACTCTCCCCAGCCGCCCAGGCTCCACACACACCAGTCTCACCTTCAGGGAGTCACCGTGCTGGAAAAACTGCCTTTTATTTAAGACACTTGAACACGATATCTCCATACTTGAATATACACCAGTTGAATAATCACAATACAGTTATTCTCAGTTCTTCAATTAGATCCCCCCCCCCCCCAAAAAAAACAATAAGTACACATCAATTAGTTTGTTGTTCTCATCAGATTTGAATTCTCTTATTGATTGATTACTAAAATGTAGCTAGTGAGTTACTACATTTTGCAGACATGCAATAGTGTCGAGGGTCCTTATTTATAAAACACAAAAATCCAACGTCATCATATTTAAAAACATGGAAAAGTGCTTAGTGCCACATCAGGGTTTAGGACACTCCGAAATCGAATGCTTCCCTACTATATATAGTATGCGAAAAAGATTATACCAAAAGAGCATGTCCGAATACGTAGTTTGCGAAAAAATATACTTACAACTTCCGCCGAGATTTTGAAGTGCGTTCGATGGACACTTTACTATCCCAGAGGACTTTTGAATGGAAGTGTAGCAGTGCAACTGGCCTGGCAATGTTACTTTTAAAAGAAAAGCATTACAATATGAAGAGTTCAGATCCAAAAGCCTCTAAATGCCATTTGAAATTTTCTACTTTAATGATGATTTTTATCAAGCTTGTATATTTAAGTTCAGTGATTTCACTTAAATGGCAATGATAATTACCTATTAATTGTTATTTAAGTGAAATTACTGAACTTGAATATACAAGTTTGACAAAAATCATCATTAAAGAAGAAAATTTCAAATGGCATTTAGAGGCTTTTGCATCTGAACTCTTCATATTTCAACACATTCTCCTCCTTTGACATCATATAGGTGACGCCATATCACATTTCGTTGAAATACTACGCACATGGCACCCTTTAGCGTCAATATAACACTCGTGACTGTTATGGGTAGGTTTAGGTCTGGGGTAGAGTCTGCATCTCATATTAACGCTAAAGGATGCCACTCATCTTTATGACTCCTTGGGTTCTGCGTGTTATATTGACGCCATGTGCGTAGTATTTAGACGAAATGTGAAATGGCGTCACCTATATGATGCCAAAGGATGAAGTAACTAATTGTATAGTTAGTTGAATGTCAGTCAATAAATGGAAAAACAAATGAACTTGCGTCACTTATTTGGAAAAGTAACTCAGATATGTTGATGTAATTTTAAAAGTAACTTACTAGTTACTTGGGGTGTAAGAAAAAATCGATGCACTTGAGTATCGCAATATTTTATTTTGCAATACTGTGTCGATTTTCAGAAACGAAAACGTTTTTTGTTTTTTTTTACGTTTTGCTAGAAACAACATAGCTGGCTAGTTTGATTTTCTGAGTACTGAATTGTTTCACATCATTTAATTCACATCATGTTTTTTTTAAAATATTACTTTTTCTAAAATTATTGTCCTACTTAAAAAAAAAAAATCCCAATATATCGCCTTATGGACAGTATCGGAATATATTGCAATATATTGAATCGTGACCCATGAATCGTGATACGCCAGATTCTTGCCAATACACAGCCCTAGTTACTTGAAAAAGTAATCTGATTATTTAACTCAGGTTAGTTGTAATGCGTTACCCCCATCACTGCATTCATGCTACCCATATATAGAGCGTTGTTTTGACGGTCGCAAAGTAAATTCAATTTAAAATATAGTAGCCTACGTTCTCAGAAAATACGCGATTTCAGACTTCAGAGGTATTTGGATAATTTAAGCAAGTCTTGCCGCTGGCGATTCTCAAGTAAAGCATTTGGACATTATATGTTCAGGACAGTAATCAACCTTTCCGCTGCGCACAATTTCAAGATCATTTGTGATTTCTAAAGTTTCACATCTGGAAGAGAGGGGCGTGCCGTACGCACTGTTTTCGTTAGTTCTCTGAATTACACGTACGCACATTTGAGAAATGATCGTAAGACCAAATGATGGTTTCGAAACATTTTTATAAATGAGGTCTGTGATGTTACAACAGAACAGACAGTTATAAGTTATAATTACAGGTTAAAGACCCTTAAAACATGTGACAAAGCGAACAAGCTGTGTTTCAATATACAAATGAGACACTGTCTAATTAAATATGCACTAATTTCCACACATTTCCAGAATTGACAAATTAAAGGTTTTTACAGAGGATATCTCTTTTTTATCACTCCATAAACCAGAAAATAGTGTAAAACAGAAGGAGCTGCAAACACACATGATTTTGAACTATTATAAATGCAAAGAATAAGAGCTTTGAAATCGCTCAATTATGTAAGTGATTTGTAAGCCCTAATGCTGCTGCTTTTAAGTGGAGTGTTTTTACATTTGGATTAGGGTGTCTTAGAAAAGGTCCATTTTCACACACCGCTGCCCCGTGATTGACAGATGCATGGAGCTGTGACTGACAGCCTCTAAAGGCCCATCCCCGACCCCTGGAGTGTCCTCAACAGGGCCTGTCCCCGCCAGACAAGGCCCTCATAGGGGGATTCACTGGTTCCAGAGGCCACGAGGTCAGGATGGTAGAAGATCAACCGACCCCATCCCTTCTTGCTCTTTATTAGCTGGGTTAAAGGTTAAGAAAGCAAAGAGCATCCCTCCAGAGTCATTGGGTGAAGAACTCTTCTCTGACTTTTGACAGTCCTGCTTCACTGTATCCCATGACACATCTTGATGAACACTGCACATAACCTCACGTTTCATGAAACAACCCAACTTGAACTGTATATATTAACTAAAAAACACAACGAATCTATCCAACACTCACGACCAATTCGTACAAGTGAGCTTATGTGTACGAGTACGACGAACTCACTCATACGATTTCGTACGATTTGTCTAAACCCCGGTGATGAGTAGGTTTAGGGGCGGGGTCAGTACTTAGTACGAACTCATACGAATTGGGCAACACGTAAAACATGTATGATTTAGCAAAAATCGTATGAATTCGTCCGAATCAGCCATCTCGTAAAACACACGAATTCCCGTGAGATTGGGTTGAATCTATCGCGCACAGTACTGAAGACTATACAAATACTGGAATACATATGGTAACTTATTATTTTATATTTTAAATAAGTCAGACAGGTTTGGGATGACATGAGGGTGAGTAAATTAATTTTATTTTTCTGGTGAACTACCCTTTTTAATGGGTTAAATAACGAGCCTGACTGATGTACTGTACATGTGAATGTACTCACACATATAGACTGTATTATTCATGCAGTGTCTTCTCATTTAGACAAAGCAGAAAGGAGGTGTGCTGCTATTAAGATGTCGGGGAACAGGCTTAATGCTTTTGAAGCTCTGGGAAAATGAGGCGTGGTTGTGTGTGTCTGTGATGTGATACAAACACGTCTTATACACACATCTGAAGTAACACACACACACATATCTCTAGTAGTCCCTCTTTTCCAAGGCCATTAGTACGAGCTGGCCTTGATTACTTATTTATGAGGCAAACAGGCAGAAGTGCGGGGAGTGGAGTAAAGAGACAGACAAAGACTGACCGGAACCCCTCGTGTCCATGAATATTCAGTATTTCACAGCATTTTCTTCAAAACAGATCACTTACGCACTTAATAACTCCTTCAGGTATCTGCAGAATAGCAATCAAACGCCACGAAACTACAGATGCAACCATATCAACATTGCAGCTGTGGGTGGTGTACTCTTAAGGAGTAGTTCACTTTAAAAAAAAAAAACTTTTGCTGATAATTTACTCACCCCCGTGTCATCCAAGATATCCATGTCTTTCTTTCTTCAGTCGAAAAGAAATTAAGGTTTTTGATGAAAACATTCCAGCATTTTTTCTCCATATAATGGACTTTAAGGGCTTTAAACGACTCCAGACGATGAATAAGGGTCTTATCAAGCGAAACGATCGCTCATTAAATTAATAAATAACAAAGTTCACGTTTTACAAGCTCAAATGGTCGCCTTGCTCTGTTCTGTGACTCTCCTGTTCATCAAAATGAACGAATCTTTTTCCCGAGTCAACGCGTTCATTTCGTTTGTTGAGTGAATCAAATGACACGGAAAAAGATTTGAGAATTGTAAATTGTCACAGATGTAGAAACGAGTTTTGTACACAGAATATTTGAAAACTTTTTATTTATTATCCATAGCCATATGGCCATATCCACCAATCCTCTTTGAAAAAAGCTGAAATCATCACATGGGTCTTTTCATTCAATGTCTTTTTGTCACTCACCCAAAATAAATACATAGCTTTTCTTGCAACCATTTAAATAAATATCTGTGGCTTTATGATAATATCAGCAAAAAAGTGTAAAATGTATATATATATATATATATATATATATATATATATATATATATATATATATAATAGATTCATTTGTATAGATTTATATATATATATTTATTTATATATTCTCCTTTAATTCTTTTACAACTTACAAGATGCCAATTGTACCAAAGCAATACTTACTAATACAACATGGTGAACTTTTAGTGGTTAACTTAGAGACGGCGGACAGCACCCGTTAGGCATTCTCGTAAATTGTATGTACCTGCACACTGAAACCCCACAGACGTCCTTAGAGGAGCCGTTCTCATGGGACGCAACTGTGGAGGAGAGGTATCTTCTCACTATTTCAGACTGTGATAGTAATGCATGTTATTTACTCTCATGCCAGTAAATATTGAGTAGTTAGATAAACATATGATTGGCTCTGGAAGTGTGTGTGTGACTTTAACTAATTTTTTTTTTTTTTTTTTTTTTTGGGGGGGGGGGGTAATTCAGGCTGTTTAGGTCTTGTCTGAACACCACAACATATTTTAAATGAGTTCAGAGTAATTGTTTCTGTTCTTTAGAGAAAAGTACCTCTCCTCCACAATAGAATATCAGCATTATGGTTAGTCTTAAGTATTAGCCAGGTCTCTGACAAGGTTAATGTCCAACAGTAATAGAAAGTAATGGTAATAATAATAAGAACCAGATTAAAACAAATGGAATAAAAATACAAATACAATAAGAATTCTATGTACATACAAAAATATAGCAAAGGAGATCACAAGGATGTGCATTTTTGGGGAAAACACACGCACACTTGAAACGGATTTCATTCATCTTGCTTCCCAGTTTTGGATGCCTCTGTTTCGCCTTGTTCCCATGTGTGGTTTTCTACCTCGTCTCAATACAATCCCTTCTCCATTCAGGGCACACCAGAGAAGCTCGGGAAAGGCCAAAGTCTTTAGAGATGCTCATGCCTCGTGTAACCACAACGGCTTCGTTTGGCTGATGCTACTCGGATCTGATGATAACCTAAAGCGTGGTCCCACAGGTTGTCCAAAGCAATGGCTTGTATCTCATCGGTGGACAGACAGTCCCTTTTGATGTTTGGTCCCACAGCGTAGTCGGACAGTTGGAAAAGTACAACGGGCAGCCGAGACTAAACGAGTCGAGGTTGGCGTCAGACGGCCCTGGCCCGGAAACCTGACCAGACACTTTATCTTTCAGAGTAGCTCCTCTAAAAATAAAAGACCTGAGACTGCACACACATGCACATACAAACACACACACATATTCCCTTCTTCTTCTTCCATACACACACAATGTCTCTCTTTACCGCCTCTCTTGAAACACATCCCTCTTAGGTGAGCTTAATTTTCTGATTTACAGTACGTAAATAGTCGTGTTTTTGGTGTCAAACGGATTTGACTTACACAGTCAGGCTCTTAAAGTCACAGTGAACCAGTTTGTCCATTCAGTAAGGCTGAAGAGGACACACTTTCTGTTGCCTAGATGATGTACAGCCTCTGCGTTACTCCCTGTGTTACGTGTGGTTCACATTACCCAACTCTATCTTGGAAAGTCCAATAAATAAATAAATAGACACGGGTTTACCAAAGAAAATGGGGATGATAATGAACACGACGCAGGGAGGCCTGATCGGTTTAGAGTTGGTGTTTCCCGGCAATCCTCGAAGGTCATACAGGCTTCTCCAGGGTTTTACGAAAGGGTGCGGGGTTGGTGGCAGAGATCTTGCGGCACACAGTGTTGGTGTTGCTACATCGGCAGCCTGGACGTGTGGCGCGATCGTAGCCACGCTGGCATAAAGTGAGGCACAGCTTGGCAGGAGGGTAGCAGCACAGGCAAGGCAGGCAGAGCGCCAGGAAGGCCAAGGCACTCCAGCGGGAGCAGGCGTGAGCCGGGGCACAGGAGCACGGTCGGTCGGCACAGTTGTCCTCCTTGTCCGCCGAGCAGTGGTAGAACAGAGCCTTCACGCAGCACAGGCAAGTGCCGTACTCCAAGAACTTTTCAGCCGAGCACAAGCAGCGCTGGCCGCAGGTCCAGCAGGAGGGCAGATCACGAGGGGCACAGCACTCCTGGCACTTACAGTGGCCGCAACGCTCACAGATGAAGAGATGCAGGCCCAAGTCCTCACTGTCAGCCAGTCCCTTGCCCAGCGAGTCCGGTTTCAAGTCCCCTTTGGGCTGGGACCGCACCACAGTGGCCAGACCAGAATGGGAAGGCGTTAGTCCAGCGAGAAGTCTCTGGTCCGAAGCAGCGCTCCCACGGGACATGGAGCTCACGGTACTGGAGCGGCTCAAGTAGGCCAAGTGGGAATGTTGATGCTGACTTTGACTGCGAGACATCGGAGGATGTCGCTCATCGTGCACGTAGAAGACGCCAACCTGAGTGGCGGGCTCCAGCGCCACGGGCCGTTCCACATAGTCATTGTTAGCCCTTATGGCATGGATCTGGTCAATGGACAAAACAGGGACCTGCTGAAGATCCAGGCTTTCAGGGTCCATCCGAAAGGGTGGTACTGGATCCATTCTTTCAGGGCTGAGCTGCGAGGCGGACCAATATCAGGGTACATCGGATAAACCTGTGGAATAAAAGGACAAAATAAAACGATTTAGAATCAAATGAGATGGTCAATGGTTATTATTAGACACGGAGGATCGAGAGATTGACATCACACTGTAATTTAGCATCTGGAGAGCACAGCTGTGGACACAAGGGGAAAGGAATTTGACAGAAACTGGGGAACCCGAAAGAATTAGTGTTAGTGTCCTGAGGTATCTCTTCCTCAGCAGTTTGTGCCCCTCCCTGCGGCCCTTCTTTTGTTAGGCCTTATCCTTCATAAACAGGAACAACATGGCTTTTGGAATGTGCATGGAAATAATCAGCATCCTGGAATTGAGAAACATGTTGCTTGCATTATTGGACGTCATAGGCAAACAAGACATTGCATTGGATTAGATAGCGATGGGTTTTGTTTTCCTCCATCGAGGATAGAGGACCGCTTTTGATGTTTGTCAGACTCTTCCAAAAGTAAAAAAAAAGCAAACGTTTTCGGCCGGAGCTGCTTCTGACATAACAGGCGATGGAAATCCATTCACAACAGCAGTGATTAGAAGAAGCAGTGTCCCTCAAGCATCCGGGGCACAGTCAGCTGAATTCCTGGCAAGAGCCTTGAATGCTCTCGCAAAGAGAGAGAGAACTAAGATAGCATCCTCCCCCGCTCCCGCTCCCACTGCCCAGCCAGAAACTCAAGATAAGGAGGCCCAGGTCGGAAGCACAAAATGCATTTGCAAATTACACAGAGGAGGAAAGAGAAGTCCTGGAGAGTAATTACATCAAACCCAGCAGAGAGCTGTAGTCAGGTCCTATCAGTCCATCTAATTGTTGAAAGGGGTCTGCTGTTCATTTCCATGAGCTCATTATTTGGGGCCTGAGTTCGAAAACAACATTGGACTCTTAGTCTCGCATCTGCGGGCAAGCCAGAGAGGAAGTTTTGGGTTAGCTCATCTGTGTCATGTCAGGCACTTTGGTTGCATATTTGTTTGAGCATTTGCACATGTCCTCTCCATGTGGTTTTCCTCAAGTGTGTCGGCACTTGGGAGCATTCATCACTCGCGGCTACGCTGGAGTTTATTTGGAACTTTCCACTGACTTGCAGAGATCTTGTGTAAAAGCAGACCCAAATTACACCTCAAGAAGATGCATTTCCTGGGTCGGCTACAAAGAAACGTTTCTTTCCAATTAGCTGCAATTCCGTCCACAAAAGTTATCATCAATGAAATATCCATGAGTTCCTTCCCTTGAGCCAGACCATTTGGAAAGCCACCATCCATTAACCGTAAACTGCCTCCCACAGGAGCTCACCGACCACTTTCATGCTCTGTCAATGAGTATAGTGAATTTGTAAAATAAGCTGTGAAACCCAGAGCAGAAGCTGCTATAGAAAAGCCCCTGAACAGTCTTCCAGAAGCCGCCGTCAGGGGGGAACACTACAGTAAGGTGAAGTCCAGTTAAAACAGCACACCAACACTCCCTACCGAGTCCCAGAGTACGCTTTAGCTCCACCTGCCCCACACTGCACACCCGAGCGAGGCCGTACTGGGGCTGTGGACTGCTCTATCACGTCTCTATAGTGGAACTTGCACAATTGTTTTCTCTTAAACAAATACTGTGGATAACACCTACTCCAATAGTACTCTTGTTCAAGGAACATTCAATAGTGTTGATTCAAGTCTACTGAGATATTGATTATGTTGTTCAAGTTCTGACCATGACCTCTAAAAGAATTACTCTAAATGAGCAAGAAATAGGAAGGTTACTACACTACACTATGGATAGGGTTGGGTATCGTTTGAATTTGAACGATTCTGATTCCAATTCCGATTCCTTGTTTCGATTCCGGTTCCTAACGATTCTCGATTCCGATTCTTTTAAGAGGCAGGGTTAAAAAAGTTTAGCTAACCTTGCTAACCAACGGTCTTTCGGAAGGAAATACTCCTTCTGTCACAAATTTTGCATTTTGCCGAGATTTCGTTATTTTTAGAAAAGTGAAGCCACACTTTGGACCGCCGACGTAAGCTACTCATGTTCGACTCGCGCGGTTATCCCAACACTTCCGGTAGACGCTTCTTTCGTTGGTGTTATTCAGCGGTTACTTCTTCCGCTCGGCGGACTGTGAATATCGAAACTAGGAATCGAAATTTTAACTTTTGAACGATTCCGGGAAAAACGAAAAGTTAGTCCCGGTTCCAATCGATACTCGATTCTCGATACCCAACCCTAACTATGGATCAGACCAGTTCAGAATCTGTTTCTGCAATCTAGCATTCATCCAAAGTATTGTTTTTTTCCCCCGATCCCACATCTGAAGACTCCATCTTCTTCTTTTTGTTGCTAGATGGTTTTATCATTTACCAGGATATTCTGTATCTGGCTCTCCACATTTGATAGCACTTCTTACATTGGAGAAGTAAAGCAAGTCTGTCTGCGTTTCTCGTTTTCTTTCAGGTCGAATGAACTTTTTTAAATCACATTTAATATAGGGAGAATAGCCATGCAACATCTAACACGGCACAAGAAAATGGACAGAACACACAACACCTGTCCCAGCCAGGTTAAGGCGCACTTTACGTCCATAGAGCGAGAGACAGCTGCATCGAGTGAGAGAGAAAGAGAAGGGAGAGAGTGGCCTTGTTTACTCAGCCCTGCCTGCCATGAGGGGTAACCTGAAGACAGGCCTCTGCGCTCTGGGAGTATCAGTGCTGAGTGAGCTGTACCTCGGGGCTCCTCGCACCCGTTACCTTGGCCAGAGTAATCCAATCCAGGGCAGGAAGAGGATGAGAAGCGCATATTATTCATAACAGCCACCACACTCCACTGACTGGGAGAAACTTTAAACCAGGAGAGAACAGTCGTCCCGTAAAGGGTCGTGTTTATCTACCGGTGGGTGCGACCATCAGGTGATGATGCTGTTGGGATGTTGGCAATGACATCATGCTGTGGTGCTATTTTTAAAGCCTCCAGTCTCCTTTCACTGACCCCTGCTGCCACTGATAAGCATCCAGCAGTTCTGCAGCCGGCCATCGGGTCAGTCTGACTTCCTGCAGGCTAACTGTCATTAGAGATATCCATTTTCCATTTCTCTCTCTCTGACTCAGATAGAGTGGCAGATTGGCGATTGCTGACTGAGGGTTGATTAGCTGGTCGTCGCGGGGGGGGGGGGGGGGCGTACGTGTGCTCCTAGGGGCCGGCTGGACTTGAGCTGTCAGGCACCAGGACCCTGGGATCGGCCCCACAGGGAACACAGTGGGATTGAATGACAATAAACTGTATGAGATTCCGGATGTGCCGAATCCGACCCCCAGGAAGGACTGAAATAGACACTGCAGACCAGCAAGTTTGGGTGAGAGAGAGACAGAGAGAGAAGGGGGGGGGACTTAGAGAAAGGAGGAATATAGAAGATAAAGATTGAGAAAAACACACACACAAACATGTAACTCTGAGTATTAACAAATTAACTATTAAAACGCATTTTGAGACAAGTTTTCACTTTTAACCAAATTTCACATCACTTTTAGCCGGCCTCTAGCTTGAGAAATTTATCACAAACCAATTCAAAATACACATGTGTGCAGCGCTGTCCCATGTCCTAGTATTGACATCTCCAACCTTGAGGACGATCAATTCCCAGTGCAGCCCAGTGCATCGGCTGGGTCAGGGCTTGAGTTTAGGGCGACACACACACATCATCTCCACTCGGATGCTGTCAACTAGATTATAGATCATTCAGAGAACTGGATCTCAAGAGAAAAGAGATTTAAATGAAGAATCTCTTACCCCTAAAAGGAGGGAGATCCATTTTGCGCCAAAGCAGTGTTTTATGTTTGTTTGTCTTTCTTTCCTTTATGTTTTCTTGAGCAGCTTTCTTCACAAGTGTCCCACACGTGCGAGCAATCCTGGTTCCTCAGTGCTCAGTCATTCCCTCTGAAGAACACCAGCAGCCTTCATCAAGCCACAGCAAAGGAGCCAGACGAAGAAACGAGGGCAACATGTCACGCCAAATATCCCAATTTATCTGAGTAAGAAACAAAAACGTCCCCAGGGCAAAGTAACTAAGAGGAGCTTCGCTTTTCCAAAGTACTTCCACAAAACAGTGTGGAGAGAGCACAGCAGCCGTCTCTCAGTGTGAGCTGGACGAGTGAGTGCTGGATTGTCTCTCTCTCTCTCTATCTGTGTATGGTCAGCGCTTCCTGCTCATGCGATCATCCCCTCACTCCCAGAGTGTGTGTGTGTGAGCGAGAGAGCTAGAGATGAAGGGTGGGAAACAGTGAGGGAGGGAGATGGGATGGGGAGGAGAAGGAGAAGGAGGGGTGGCTGGATATGAATGGTAGAAGGAGGGCCGGGCCGGGCTGGGGGGGGGGGGGGTTGCTGGAGATAGTTAATGGCTAAGTGGCATCATCGGGCTGAAACCCAATCTCTCATTTTCTCCCCCTCAGGAACTGTTCTATATGATTCCCTGAGCTAAGCCTAACAAGATGGATAGAGGGAGGAAGGGAAAAGGAGAGACAACACAGTGAGAAATGGATAGAAAGATAATATGAGTCAACAATATGAAAGGACAATTTCATTCTTGCTGATCTTTCCCTTGCTTGCAGTGGCACTTCAGCTAAAAGTTATTCGAGAATATCACATTTACCGAGGAGAACTGCCTTCAGACATCCACTAACATCACGTTGACACAAGCTGATTAAAAGTCATTGCAAACAAAAAAATGGCTAGTTCTGTGAAAAGACATTTGTTTGCCGATAATGATAATGCAATAAAAGTGTGTCTTAAAGGAGTAGATCGCTTTTAAAAAAGCTTTTGCTGATAATTTACTCGCCCCCGTGTCATCCAAGATGTCCATGTCATTCTTTCTTCAGTCGAAAAGAAATGAAGGTTTGCACTGAAACTGTCTTTTGGACCTTGAACCGTTTGGTTCCCATTGAAGTCCATTATATGGAGAAAATCCTGGAAGTCCAAGAACAGTTGGTGCCACTGTATAGGAAAAGAAGTATATGGAATAAATGCATATATATATATATATGAAGAGTTTAGATGCAAAAGCCTCTAAATGCCATTTGAAATTTTCTTCTTTAATGATGATTTTTATCAAACTTGTATATTTAAGTTCAGTAATTTCACTTAAATAACAATTAATAGGTAATTATCATTGCCATTTAAGTGAAATTACTGAACTTAAATATACAAGTTTGATAAAAATCATCATTAAAGAAGAAAATTTCAAATGGCATTTAGAGGCTTTTGCATCTGAACTCTTCATATATATATATATATATATATATATATGTAACCCCTCACACCCGGGTCCAACTCGACCCGCTCCGAGCGGGCCTCGAACCCGGGTCACTGGCATGAGAGTCGGGCGCGCTAACAAGGAGGCTAAAGACTGCAGCCTCTAGCGTCTGTCGCTAGAGCGCCTATTGAGATCGGGGAGTGAGGTTTACTCGCACAGCAACTACTAGCTGGCCTCCGTTACACTCACCCCCCTAAACCTCACTCTCATCCGGGTCACGGCACCAATGTAACCCCTCACACCCGGGTCCAACTCGACCCGCTCGAACCCGGGTCTCCGCCGTGAGAGTCGGACGCTCTAGCAAGGAGGCTAAAGACTGCAGCCTCTAGCGTCTGTCGCTAGAGCGCCTATTGAGATCGGGGAGTGAGGTTTACTCGCACAGCAACTACTAGCTGGCCTCCGTTACATATATATAAAGGAAGACCTTGATATTTCACAGAACATCGAGGTATATGAACATGCCATTTTTAACTCTAAAAGCCTCATGTGGTTGTAGACTCAACATTTGGGAACTCACTGACCCGTTCTGATGTGTGTGTGTGTGTGTGTGTGTGTGTGTGTGTGTGTGTGTGTGTGTGTGTGTGTGTGTGTGTGTCAGCACGCAGCTGTCCCAGAGCAGGTTACATCCTCGAACAGTGAATAATTCAGCGTCTCAATCGAGTGCATGACAGACTGGAACCCAGCCCATGTTCCTTCACTTCAGACAACAAGCTGCCTTAGCTTATCATCATCATCATCATCATCATCATCATCATCATCATCATCGCAGTGAAATGATCAAGAACGAACTAATGTAAATTATAATGAAAAAATGCACTAAATATACAGGATATTCATATGTGGCCATGTCAGTCTATTGATAGCACATGGAAGGTATCTCCAAGGTAACAGGACATATTTTGTGTGCATGTGACTATATGTGTGTGTGTGTGTGTGTGTGTGTGTGTAATAGGGCAGGAAGAGGGGTGCTTCCTGGCTTCCTGTAGAGGGAAATAGTTAGGATGACCAAACAGTGCATGAGAGACGAGAGAGAATAAGGTTTCTCTGTACTAAACACACGATCATCTCAATCTTTATGTTCACAATGTAAATTGTATAATTTGTGCTCTCTCTATAACCTAATAATCTATTCTACGAGATGGATGTTCATTTACTGCATAAATAGCCGTTCTGTTTACAGGTATTTGATTCCACTTTTTCCCATCAGTTTTGGTCTCATAATATTCAACTATTCGTCAAACACACCACACGTAAGCATGTTATTAAATTTAACACACACATTTTTTATATATATATACTGACTGCAAATCAAGAGATGCTCTCGTTTTTTTAAGCAACTTGTTTCATCATAATGTTTAGGATTTGACAAAAAGAAAAGAAATATTTAAAACTAAATGTAATTTACAAGTTAATGCCTGACAATCTAAGACTAAGTTTAATAAATGTTTGAAACCAACCTTACCTAGAACTGTAAACTACTGATTTTATGGTTTGTTTGCATTATATATGATCATTTACATGGTTGTTTGTATGCTGATCGTTAATGGTGTTCACATCTGAACCGCATTTTTAAAGATGGACATAATGAATGTTTGTGAAAGGTAAGCCCTTTTTTTTAAAGGCAATATGGGAAAAGGCCTAATATTGTTCATCTAATTTAGTTAAAAACAAATATATTCTTCAAATAATATCTCTATTTTATTTTATTACAGCACCACTGGAGCTCTGCTTTGGGTCATAGTGACTGAAGTTTAGTCTCACTATTAACTAGTTGCTTATTAGCATGCATATTACTGGGATGTTGGCTGTTTATTAGTACTTATAAAGTACATATGAATGCCTTATTCTGCATTACCATATTCAACAGTAAATCCCTAATCCTACCAAGTCACAGTTAGTTAACCATTTAACTCATTCAAGGAGTTAGAGTTAGGCATACACAAAAGCAAAGACTCGTAACTTCAAAACTATTGCTATATTGAGGCTATATTGAGAGTCCAAGTATTGCTTAGAAAAAAAATCATTACTGCTGTTAAAAGACAATATATATAGATCATTTGTTGTTATTATTTTGCATATCGTTCGTATTTGACACGCAATAGCGCAAGAAGGAAATAACATGGAGGACCATTCTTTGGTGAAGTTCCTCTATTGTGAGCAGAATCGGTATCAAATTTTGTGGTGATAGCATAAAATAATGAAGTTACAGCATTTCTAATCAGTGCAAGCTTTTGTTTAGCCCTGACACCCTCTGATGGACATTTTTAAAATGATTCCTCCATCTTGTGATCTACGCAATGGATATAGGCTAATGTTGAATTTGGACTCATTTCAGTTTGGAGCATGCACTAAGTAATGTCAATGATGTGCCATTTTTTAGGATCTGTCCAAGTTTCTTGATGTTACAAGTGTAAAAGTCACGTGAAAGCTATAATTAATTTTACTCAGCTATACAACTGTGCCTGTAGGGTTTTATGCGTCATAACTCGGGGTGTGAATATCGCGTGATCAACGCACTGAATTATGGTTTTAATTATGGCTCATTTTAATTGTGATAATCTGCTGTAAATAATGCTGTGCCATTTTCCAAACGTGAAATAAAGTGGTAGTAACACTGGAGTTGAGAATTGGAACCTAATCTAAAGTGTGACATTTTATAATTTAAATGGATCTTAAAATAAAAATAAGTTAAAATATATATTTAAAAAAAAAAACTGGCTCTTTTTATATGTGTTTCCCATTGAAATTTATTTGAGTACTGGAATAGCCTAGTACTGGAAAAAGTAAATATTTCCACAAAAAAACAAAAAAAACATTTATAGCTATGACGTACAATTACTCAAGTCCTTTTTTTTTTATCTCTACCCATCTGTATGATGCAATAACATGTATCCATCTCACATTATCAATGTGTGTGTGTGTGTGTGTGATGGGAACATTTTCCCTCAAGACCTGCCATTGCCTCAGAGAGAGAGAGAGAGAGAGAGAGAGAGAGAGAGAGAGAGAGAGAGAGAGAGAGAGAGAGAGAGAGAGAGAGAGAGGGGCCATAGAAGGATCAATGTTAAATGGCCTGGTTAATGACCGGCACACAGCTGACAAAGTCATTCATTTCTGCCGGCACTGTGTATTCTGTGTGTGTGTAAACAAGAGGGATTTGCACGCTTGTGTGTTTTAAACTCAAATATGAAAAAGAGAGAAAGAATGAGAAAATTAAAAGGAGAAAAAGAGACCCAACAAGGCTAGACAAACAAACGAATTCTGTTTGATAAATAGAGAAACAAAGCGTGTTTGTGTGAATGTGTGTGTGTGTGTGTGTGTGTTCTGTTATGACAGTGTTAGTATAAAGATCACTTCCCATGTCAAAGCAGCACTGCAGATGAAGCCGAAATATTGAGTTACAAAACACTCCTGGTTCACGGCCGGCCTCTTCCAGATCGCTTAAAGGGACAGTTCACGTCAAATAAAAAGAAGAATAACAAAGTGCACTAAACACTAAAACTATTTGTGCTACAAATCAGTTTATGATCATAATAGTACGATAACACAATATCATGGAGCATAACGAGCTGTGTTTGTACTGCATTGATATACTGGTTGCGAACCCAGATAGCAAACTGACATTGAATCAACGTAGAAACATGACATCGAAACAACGTTGATCTGACATTGTTTTGCTCATCGAATTAACGTTGAACCAACGTCAGACGCCTCATTCTTTCAAAACTAACGGAAAATCAACTTGAAATCAACGCGTTGTTTCAACGTTATGAAAGCAAACCAATTTTCGATTTCATTTAGCTTTGAAGAATGCCGCGTCTGACGTTGGTTCAACGTTAATTCGATGAACAAAATCAACGTTGTTTCAATGTCATGAGAGACGTCGTTTCCACGTTGATTCAATGTCAGTTTCTGAAGGACTGTTTTTTTAATCGTTTCA